GCTTGCATGGCCTTGCTCTCCCTCTCCTCCCCCTCCCTCTCTTTTGCTCAATGAGAATCCATCATCCTTGGTTGGCCTCATCTGTTTTGACAGGCGCCATCTTCCCAGGGAAAACTCCTTTCCTTCCCCGCCAGCTGTTTCCTTGCCGCTCCCCGCTGGCGCATTGGGGTGACCTCTCTCATCAATGATTCATCCCTTGCTTCCTCCCATCATCCACTGGCCAGAAAAGAGGTTGGACACCCCATTGGCACCCTCTTCTTGACCTCAAAGGACCCCCAAGACCATCCAAGCCTCTCTCTAGTCTAGTCATAGGCCAACTTGGGCCCTCCAGATGTTTTGGACTTCAACTCCCACAATTCCTAACTGTGGGAGTTGAAGTCCAAAACACCTGGAGGGCCCAAGTTGACCTATGACTACTTTAGCATGGCATTTTATGGGGCAAATCCCAGTAGTGGTGCAAAAGGAGGCCAAAACCAAAGGAATGGCACTTTCCTGGGCCAAATCCCAGGTCAAATTGCCTTGGTATCTATTGGAAGAGGGATGAAGCCGAAGGGATGCTGGCTGCGGTGCAAAAGATGGCCAAAACTAACCACATTTTCCATAGGCATGGCATTTCCTGGGGGGGAAACTGAGTTTGGGTGGCTTGAACATTTGTTGACAGGGGAAAGAAAGCCGTGGCTAAAAAGGTAGCCAAAACCAGCATCGGCCAACCGCTCCAAAAGTCACATGGCGATGCCACTGGAGATGCAATCCAGCAGCCTCCTCTAAGTCACAACTCTGGGGATTATTATTATTGTTGTGTTGTCGAAGGCTTTCATGGCTGGAATCACTAGGTTGCTGTGAGTTTTCTGGCTGTTTGGCCTGTTTGTTGGGTGGTGTTAGTTGAATCCCAACAAAGGACTCCCTCCGGCAGGAAGCAGCCAGACTCTGAACCTGCAAGGCCATTCAATGCTAATCAAGCTGGCCAAGGGCCTGGTCTAGGGGATGCTGGAAACTGTCATTTTCGCACATGCGCTGTATTGACATTTTTAGCTTTTTGGGGTTTATAAGTCTTTTCTGCTGTTTATGAGTGATGGTCACTCATTGGTCTTTTAAGGGCGTAGTGTCCAAATTGCGTGTCAATTTGTCCAGTGGTTTTTGAGTTAATCCCACAAATGAACGTTACATTTATACACACACAAACACATACCACTTGCTTAGTTTATCACAGACCTCCCAACCTCTGAGGATGCCTGCCATAGATGTGGGTGAAATGTCAGGAGAGAATGCTACTGGAACATGGCCAAGGGCCTGGTCAAGGGGATGCTGGAAACTGTCATTTTCGCACATGCGCTGTATCGACATTTAGCTTTTTGGGGTTTTAAAGTCCTTTCTGCTGTTTTTTGGAAGGGGTTTATGACTGATGGTCACTCATTGGTCTTTTAGGGGTGTAGTGTCCAAATTTCGTGTCAATTCGTCCAATGGCTTTTGAGTTATGTTAATCACACAAATGAACATTGCATTTATACACACACATACACACACCACTTGCCTAGTTTTCCACAGACCTCCCAACCTCTGAGGATGCCTGCCATAGATGTGGGTGAAACATCAGGAGAGAATGCTACTGGAACATGGCCATACAGCCCAGAAAACTCACAGCAACCTAACAACAACAAACCGCTTTGACTCTCCCTAGGGGTGTGAAAAGCGGTATATAAATACTGTAAATAAAACAACAACAACAACAACAACTCAGCACTGAATCCCCTGTGAAGCTTCCAAAGACAGCCATACACATATATGCACAATATCCATGCTCTTGCTCTCGTATAGCTGCACCTATGTTTATGCACACCGTTTTTGCACTGTGATATATGCTATTATACGGTGGTGGTGGTGATGATGATGATGCCCAGGTGCCTCTTTCTTCCATTTCGCACCAACATGAACACATATGTCCATAATATCCATGCTCTTGCTCTCGAATACCTGTACCCATGTTCATGCACACCCCTTTTGCACCGTGATATATGTTATTATACGGTGGTGATGATGATGGTGATGATGATGCTCAGGTGCCTCTTTCTTCCATTTTGCACCAACATGAACACATATGTTCACAATATCCATGCTCTTGCTCTTGCATAGCTGTACCCATGTTCATGCACACACCTTTTGCACCATGATATATGATATTATATGGTTGTGATGATGATGCCCAGACGCCTCTTTCTTCCATTTCACACCAACATGAACACATATGTCCACAATATCCATGCTCTTGCATAGCTGCACCTATGTTCATGCACACCGCTTTTGCACCGTGATATATGTTATTATATGGTGATGATGATGATGGTGATGGTGATGATAATGCTCAGGTGCCTCTTTCTTCCATTTCGCACCAACATGAACACATATGGCCACAATATCCATGCTCTTGCTCTTGTATAGCTGCTCCTATGTCCATGCACACCCCTTTTGCACCGTGATATATGTTATTATATGGTGATGAAGATGATAGTGATGACGTCCAGGTGCCTCTTTCTTCCATTTCGCACCAACATGAACACATATGTCCACAATATCCATGCTCTTGCATAGCTGCACCTATGTTCATGCATACCCCTTTTGCACCGTGATATATGGTATTATATGGTGGTGGTGGTGATAGTGATGATGCCCAGGTGCCCCTTTCTTCCATTTCACACCAACATGAACACATATATCCACAATATCCATGCTCTCCCTCTCTCGCATACCTGCACCTATGTTCATGCACATCCCTTTTGCACCATGATATATGTTATTATATGGTGATGATGGTAATGGTGATGATGCCCAGGCGCCCCTCTCGTTGCACACGTGCGACGCCAGCCTTCCGCAGTGCACACCAATGCGCACAAGAGGGTTGAGGAGCATTCGAGGCCAAGCACCTGCACATGATGTGTGTGTGTGTTGGTAGGAAAGGGATTGGCAGGAGGGCAAAATGGCTGGCAGGTGTGTGGGGAGCCGCGCATTGGAGGCGCCCTGCGCTCCCTCCCGGTGTTTGTCGGATCGGGGTCAGGGAAGTCTCCCTCGGGAGGACTCTTTAAAGAGGGCAGCTGCTAATTGCAGCTGAAAGGGAGGAAGGAAGGAAGGCAACAAAGAAGGGAAGAAAGAGAGAGAGAGAGAGGAGGAGGAGGGAGGAGAAGCATCCAACTTCTCCCCTGCAAAGTCCACTCTCAGTGCTACACATCCCAAGGAAAGTGGCCATTCTATGGGGGGCCAAGGGTTGAACCCCTTCCTCTTTCGTCATCCTAAAATTTGGAGGGGTTTTGGTGCTGATTTAATAGCCACAGCTCAATGGTACAGAGTCTTGGGAGTTGTAGTTTTCCATGGAAACCCACTGAGTGACCTTGGTTCAGGCACATACTCTCAGCCTCAGGATAGGGCAGGCATGGACCAACTTTGGCCTTCCTCCAGGTGTTTTGGACTCCAACTCCCACAATTCCTAACAGCCTACCGGCTGTTAGGAATTGTGGGAGCTGAAGTCCAAATCACCTGGAGGGGCAAAGTTGGTCCATGCCTGGGATAGGGTCACCTGAAGTTGGAAACAACTTGAAGGCCCACCATAACAAGAGATGGGGATCCAGTTCCTTCTGGAAGGTCTTTAGATGCACCTGAGGCCACTTCATCCCATCATTGAACAGTTCTCCATAATATTTAGGAGGAATCTGGTTTGTTGTTTCCTGATTCCATTTCCTTCTCCTTCAGCTGTTAATTGCAGGATGATGATGATGATGATGATGATGATGATGATGATGATGATTGAAAAAGGAGATGGAGGGCCTGATTCTGGCAGCCCAAGAACAAGCCATTAGAACCAATTCCATTAAAGCCAGAATTGAAAAGTCAATGACAGATTCCAAATGTAGACTCTGCAAGGAAGCAGATGAAACAATAGATCTCATCCTCAGCTGATGCAAGAAGATCGCGCAGACAGACTACAAGCAGAGGCATAACACCGTTGCTCAGATGATTCATTGGAACTTGTGCCACAAATACCATCTGCCTGCGACAAAGAACTGGTGGGATCACAAGCCGGAAAAAGTTACAGAGAATGAACATGTCAAGCTACTCTGGGACTTCTGGATTCAGACAGACAGAGTTTTGGAGCACAATACTCCTGAGCTCACGATCGTGTTAAAAAACAAAGTATGGATTGTTGTAGGTTTTTCGGGCTATATGGCCATGTTCTAGAGGCATTTTCTCCTGACGTTTCACCTGCATCTATGGCAAGCATCCTCAGAGGTAGTGAGGTGACCTCACTACCTCTGAGGATGCTTGCCATAGATGCAGGCGAAACGTCAGGAGAAAAATTGCCTCCAGAACATGGCCATATAGCCCGGAAAAACCTACAACAACCCAGTGATTCCGGCCATGAAAGCCTTCGACAATACAAAGTATAGATTGTCGATGTTGCAATCCCAGGTCACAAAAGGATTGCAGAGAAACAACTGGAAAAGCTGACATGATATGAGGATTGAAAGATCGAACTGCAAAGAGTCCAGCACAAACCTGTCAAGGGGGTCCCAGTGGTGATCGGCACACTGGGTGCAGTGCCTAAAGACCTTGGCCTGCACTTAAAAACAATCAGCACTGAAAAAATGACCATCTAACAGCTGCAAAAGGCCACCTTACTGGGATCTGCACACATTATTTGCCAAAATACATCACACAGTCCTAGACACTTGGGAAGTGTCCAACATGTGATCCAATACAACAGCAAGCGGAGTGTCTGCTGTGGACTCATCTTGTTGTGTTAATAATAATAATAATAATAATAATAATAATAATAATAATAATAATATCTGTACTCCTATATGTGTGCATTTCATTTCTCCTTCCTAGTTGCAATATCTTCCATTCCTTCTTGTTGGAGTTTCATTTTGATCCAGTTCTCCAAGCTGTTGTTTTGGGTCTGGGTCCTTAAACCTGAAAGAGTTGGAAGAGAATGGAGAAAGGGAGGCACTCACAGAGGTATAGAGATAGCCTTCGGCGTTCATGGCGATGTACTGCCCCGATTTGGTGCTCTGGATGGCCACCACGCGGAGGCCCACCGGGATCAGGTTGAAGAGGGCTGCGGGGAGAGAGAAAGACAAGGATTCCCGTGAGCAAAGGAGGTCAAGACCAAAAGCCAAGGTCTGGGATTGCAAATGCATTCATTGAGATGGAAAAGAACACGGCTTGCAAACATGGCTCTTGTTATTGTTTTTGGACTACCTCTCCCACAATCCTGCTGTGGATTTTCTTGCAAGTGCAAATTACAGCTGAAAGGGACCCCAAAGGCCATCCAGTCCAACCCCCTTCTGCCAGATCAGAAAGGCTCAACCCAAGCCCTCCAAACAGATGCCCATCTAGCCTCTACAAAGACTCCCAGGAAGCAGAAAATCCCAGAGTGAAACAGCTCTAACCCTTGCTTTTGTTGTTGTTGTTGTTGGACTACATCTCCCACAATCCTGCTACAGATTTTCTTGCAAGAGTGCGAACTGCAACAGGAAGGGACCCCCAAAGGCCATCCAGTCCAACCCCCTTCTGCCAGGTCAGAAAAACCCAACCCAAGCCCTCCAAACAGATGGCCATCTAGCCTCTACAAAGACTCCCAGGAAGTAGAAAATCCCACGGTGAAACAGCTCTAACCCTTGTTGTTGTTGTTGTTGTTGATGATGTTGGACTACATCTCTCACAATCCTGCTGAGGATTTTCTTGCAAGAGTGCGAATTGCAACAGGAAGGGACCCCCAAAGACCATCCAGTCCAACCCCCTTCTGCCAGGTCAGAAAGGCACAATGCAAGCCCTCCATACAGATGCCCATCTAGCCTCTACAAAAACTCCCAGGAAGCAGAAAATCCCACAGTGAAACAGCTCTAACCCTTGTTGTTGTTGTTGGACTACATCTCTCACAATCCTGCTGTGGATCTTCTTGCAAGAGTGCAAATTGCAGCTGGAAGGGACCCCTAAAGATCATCCAGTCCAACCCCCTTCCGCCAGGTCAGAAAGGCACAACCCAAGCCCTCCAAACAGATGGCCATCTAGCCTCTACAAAGACTCCCAGGAGGAAGAAAATCCCACGGTGAAACAGCCCTAACCCTTGTTGTTGTTGTTGTTGTTGTTGTTGGACTACATCTCCCACAATCGTGCTACAGATTTTCTTGCAAGAGTGCAAACTGCAACTGGAAGGGACCTCCAAAGGCCATCCAGTCCAACCCCCTTCTGCCAGATCAGAAAGGCACAACCCAAGCGCTCCAAGCAGATGCCCACCTAGCCTCTACAAAGACTCCCAGGAAGCAGAAAATCCCATGGTGAAACAGCCCTAACCCTTGTTGTTGTTGTTGGACTAGATCCCTCACAATCATGCTACAGATTTTCTTGCAAGAGTGCGAACTGCAACAGGAAGGGACCCCCAAAGGCCATCCAGTCCAACCCCCTTCTGCTAAGTCAGAAAGGCACAACCTAAGCCCTCCAAAAAGATGCCCATCTAGCCTCTACAAAGACTTCCAGGAAACAGAAAATCCCACGGTGCAGAAGGGACCCCGAAAAGCCACCTAGTCCAACCCCCTTCTGCCAGGTCAGTAAGACACAATCCAAGCCCTCCAAACAGATGGCCATCTAGCCTCTACAAAGACTCCCAGGAAACAGAAAATCCCATGGTGAAATAGCCCTAACCCTTGTTGTTGTTGTTGTTGGACTACATCTCTCACAATCCTGCTGTTGATCTTATTGCAAGAGTGCAAATTGCAGCTGGAAGGGACCCCCAAAGGCCATCCAGTCCAACCCCCTTCTGCCAGGTCAGAAAGGCACAATGCAAGCCCTCCAAACAGATGGTCATCTAGCCTCTACAAAGACTCCCAGGAAACAGAAAATCCCACGGTGAAACAGCTCTAACCCTTGTTGTTGTTGTTGTTGTTGTTGTTGTTGATGATGATGATGATGTTGGACTGGAAAATCTCACGGTGAAACAGCTCTAACCCTTCTTGTTGTTGTTGGACTACATCTCTCACAATCGTGCTACAGATTTTCTTGCAAGAGTGCAAACTGCAATAGGAAGGGACCCCCAAAGGCCATCCAGTCCAACCCCCTTCCGCCAGGTCAGAAAGGCTCAACCCAAGCCCTCCAAACAGATGCCTATCTAGCCTCTACAAAGACTCCCAGGAAGCAGAAAATTCCAGGGTGAAACAGCTCTAACCCTTTTGTAATTTGGATCCCAATCTGAACCCTTTGGGGTGCATGCATTCTCTGGCAGGTTCCCATGCGCAACAGAGATGAGACCTTCCCGCTTGCTGGTTGGCTATTTGGCATTCATTCGGGGTGGGTGGCCGCTCGGGCCCTTATTTGCTGCCTTAATGAAAATTGAGGGAAAGCGGCTCATCAATCATGCCTCCCTTCTTCTCTCCCTGTTTCCCTGGGAGGCTGAGACTCAATTATTCGGAGACAGAAAAAGAGAGAGAGAGAAAGAAAAGAAGGAAGAAGCAAAGATGGTGCAAGAAAAGAGGGAAAGAAGGGCACCCAGGGATTTCTTTTTTGCACTACCGAACCCTCTCCAAATTCCAATTAGACACAATGCCACCCAGAATATGGGTGCATATACCCCTAGGGTGCATCTACACTCAAAATATGGGATTTGTAGTTTGGTGAGGAAGAGAAAGCTAAGGACCTCATTGAACTGCAAATCCCTGGATCACATAGCAATTGAKTCTTGGGACTTCTAGTTTGGCGGGGCAAGAGAAGGCTAAAGACCTTGTTGAACTACAAATCCCTTGATCTCATAGCAACTGAATCCTGGGATTCATAGTTTGCTGAGACAAGAGAAGGCTAAAGACCTTGTTGAAKTACAAATCCCTTGATCTCATAGCAATTGAATCCAGGGATTCATAGTTTWGTGAGGCAAGAGAAAACTAAAGACTTTATTGAACTAGAAATACCRGGATTGCATAGCAATGGAATCATGGGACTTGTAGTTTGATGAGGCAGAAAAAGCTAAAGACCTTGTTGAACTATAAATCCCTGGATCTCATAGCAATAGCATCCTTGGATTTGTAGTTTGGCAAGGTAGGGAAAGCTAAGGACCTTGTTGAACTACAGATCCCTGGATCTCATAGCACTGGAACCCTGGGATTTGTAGTTTGGCAATGAAGAGAAAACTAAGTACCTTGTTGAACTACAGATCCCTGGATGTCATAGCACTGGAACCCTGGGATTTGTAGTTTGGCAATGAAGAGAAAACTAAGGACTTTGTTGAACTACAGATCCCTGGATCTCATAGCACTGGAATCCTGGGATTTGTATTTTGGCGAGGCAGAGAAAGCTAAGGACCTTGTTGAACTGCAAATCCCTGGATCTCAGAGCAATGGAATCCTGGGATTTGTAGATTGGCAATGAAGAGAAAACTAAGGACCTTGTTGAACTACAGATCCCTGGATGTCATAGCACTGGAACCCTGGGATTTGTAGTTTGGCAATGAAGAGAAAACTAAGGACTTTGTTGAACTACAGATCCCTGGATCTCATAGCACTGGAATCCTGGGATTTGTATTTTGGCGAGGCAGAGAAAGCTAAGGACCTTGTTGAACTGCAAATCCCTGGATCTCAGAGCAACGGAACCCTGGGATTTGTAGTTTGGCAATGAAGAGAAAACGAAGGACCTTGTTGAACTACAGATCCCCAGATGTCATAGCACTGGAATCCTGGGATTTGTAGTTTGGCGAGGCAAAACTCGATTCCTTACTGAAACCGTTGTCCTCTCTGGTCCCGTCAATGGTGCCATCAGGGTGGACTTGGAGGTAATAGCCGTGCCGGCAGAAGAGCTTGGTCACGATGCCTTTCAGCTGTGGTTCTGCAAAGAGAAGAAAAGAAGGCAAGAAGTAAGACATGGCAGGAGAATCATGGCGTGCGTTTACACCAGAGCTCTCCAAATTTTCTAAGTTGGTGCCACATGCATCCTTTCGTGACACGGGCGTTCAGTTTGACAAGCAAGCCGGAGGCCAAAGCTACCACATAAAAGAGTTACATGAAATATATAGTATATTGTATTACATATGATATAATCTATATAAATAATTAACATAACTCAAAAACCACTGGGCAAATTGACACCAGATTTGGAAACAAGATACCTATTAGGCCAACAAGTGACCATCAGGGTTGTTGTAGGATTTTCCGGGCTATATGGCCATGTTCTAGAGGCATTTTTCTCCTGACATTTCGCCTGCATCTATGGCAAGCATCCTCAGAGGTAGTGAGGTCTGTTGGAAGTAAGAAAATGGGTTTATATATTACAACAGCAAAACAACATAAACAATCAGGCACATCAAATCACCTCTCAACAAAAAGATTGCCCCAGGCACTTCCAAGCCATTAAATGCTAATCAAGGTGGTCAGTTGAAACATTCACACCTAGCTCCAGCAGACAAGAGTCCTTTGTCCCACCCTGGTCATTCCACAGATATAAACCCTTTTTCAAAATCAAAAATTACAACAGCAAAACAACAGAGAGTAAACAATCAGGCACATCAAATCACTCTCAACAAAAGATTCCCCCAGGCACTTCCAAGCCATTAAATGCTAATCAAGGTGGTCAGTTGAAACATTCACACCTAGCTCCAGCAGACAAGAGTCCTTTGTCCCACCCTGGTCATTCCACAGATATATAAACCCATTTTAGGTCTGTTGGAAGTAAGAAAATGGGTTTATATATTACAACAGCAAAACAACATAAACAATCAGGCACATCAAATCACCTCTCAACAAAAAGATTGCCCCAGGCACTTCCAAGCCATTAAATGCTAATCAAGGTGGTCAGTTGAAACATTCACACCTAGCTCCAGCAGACAAAAGTCCTTTGTCCCACCCTGGTCATTCCACAGATATATAAACCCATTTTCCTACTTCCAACAGACCTCACTACCTCTGAGGATGCTTGCCATAGATGCAGGCGAAACGTCAGGAGAGAATGCCTCTAGAACATGGCCATATAGCCCGAAAAAACCTACAACAACCCAGTGATTCCGGCCATGAAAGCCTTCGGCAATACAAGCATTTGATGGGTGAACAACTCGGGGCTATGTCCGTCCTTGCTGCTTATTGTTATTTTAACGTTAATTGTATTGTTTTAATCTGCTCCCCTGGCAAACAAAACACGCAATAGCATATCCACACTCTCTTCCAGGACTACAGCTCCCAGCATCCCCTAGACCAGGCCCTTTAGGAAAGGATATTCCAAATGCACTGCTTCCAAGCTGCAAGCTTTCTTCTCCTTGGATTTTTTGAGAGCATCCCAATCCCTGCGTATTTCCAATTTCCTATTCCTGGACTGCAACTCCCAGCAATCTTCCAGATAGATAGATTAGATAGAGATAGATTGGTAGGTAGATAGATTGATCAGGAGGACTGCTGGGAGTTGCAGTCCAAGAATAGGTAGAGAAGGAAGAAAGGGGAGAAAGAGGAAGGGGAAAAGGGGGGGGGGGGAAACGAAGGGAAGAAGAAGAGAAGGAAGAAAGGAGAGAAAGAAAGAAAGACAAAAGGGAAGGAACGCAGAAAAATGGGAGGGAAGGAGATAAAGAAAGAAGAGAAAGAGAGAGGGAAGGTTGGCCACAGCAACGTTGTACGGGTACAGCTAGTCTATACCTCACAATTGTGTTAAAAAACAAAGTATGGGTTGTCAATGTTGCAATCCCAGGTGACAGCAGGATTGCAGAGAAACAACTGGAAAAGGTGACACGGTATGAGGATTTAAAGATTGAACTGCAAAGACTCTGGCACAAGCCAGTCAAGGGGGTCCCAGTGGTGATCGGCACACTGGGTGCAGTGCCTCAAGACCTTGGCCTGCACTTAAACACAATTGGCACTGACAAAATTACCACCTGCAGCTGCAAAAGGCCACCTTACTGGGATCTGCACACATTATTTGCCAATACATCACACAGTCCTAGACACTTGGGAAGTGTCTGATGTGTGATCCAATACAACAGCCAGCAGAGTGATCTTGTCTGCTGTGGACTCATCTTGTTGTGTTTCAAATAATAATAATAATAATAATAATAATAATAATAATAATAATAATAATAGAAGATTGTGAAGACCAGGGTGAAGCAGATAATAATAATAATAATAATAATAATAATAAATAATAACAACAACAACAACAACAACAACAACAACAACAGCCAGCAGAGTGTCTGCTGTGGACTCATCTGGTTGTGTTTCAAATAATAATAATAATAATAATAATAATAATAATAATCCGTCCTAGATGCTTGGGAAGTGTTCAGCTTGTGATTTTTTGATACAAAATCCAGCATATCGATCTCGTTTGCTATGACATACTGTGTTTTTGTGTCAGTAAAATAATATATAATAATATAACAGACTTTATTGTCAAGGCAAATATTAATATTATTATTAATGGGCTTTATTGTCAAGGCAAAAAACCTTTATTGGAATTTCTAATCTCCGCATCAGATGCCTACCAGGAGCCCTTTGTTGGGGAAAAGTTGGCAACCTTTGCAGGGATGGCACAAAGGACACCTTGGAGGGCGGCAAAGGAGCCTTGGCTTTGAGAAAGGAATAGGATCCAGAACACAATCTCTTTTGGAACAAAAGGTATATATAAATATATGTCTGCATTTAGGAGAAGACACAAGACCCAGTTGTAGTTTTTACAAGGTCTTGAGCCTTCCCTCCTGACTGTGAGAGCCGTTCAGCAGTGGAACTCTCTGCCCTGAGTGTGGTGGAGGCTCCTTCTTTGGAAGCTTTTAAACAGAGGCTGGATGGCCATCTGTCAGGGGTGATTTGAATGCAATATTCCTGCTTCTTGGCAGAATGGGGTTGGACTGGATGGCCCATGAGGTCTCTTCCAACTCTTTGATTCTATGATTCTATGAGTGTCGAACTACAGCTCTCAGGATCCCCTAGCACTGAGCCAGGGCAGTTAACGTGGCATCAAACTGCATTAATTCTACAGTGGAGATGCCCCCAAGGATATTGGCACGACGGCAAATGGCACAAAGGGCTGGTACAAAAATGGTCTCTGGTGGAAGCCACTTTGGAGCTGGCAAGGCAGAGAGAGACAGCATGATGCGGGCGTTTACTTCATGTTGCAAATATTATAAGGTGTAATATTATCATTATATGCTTAATATAACAAATTATACCTAATACATTCAGCATTATTCTGGGGAAGATGCTCTATCATCCCCCCAATAAGTAAGTATATTTGTATGTGTGTATATCTATATGTATATGTATGTGTGTGTATATAGATATATATATAGTACCCCAGAGCCTTGCAGGCGTTGAGAGATAATCTCAATTGACAGAATAAGAGCCAAATGATCTTGACTCTTAGAGGATATTCGAGCTCTCTCTCTGTTTCCCTGTCTCTCTCTCTCTTTCTCACCCACCGCTGGCATCGAGTTGAGATCTGCGCATGGAGGTATGCGCTGATTGTGTAATGCCAGGGTTGCCTTGAATGATGACATTGTGCCACCGAACCGAGATAAGGAATGTGCGGCCAAAATGACATCAAGGGTGGAGGCAAATGCGTAGGAAATGCATGACGTACAGCATCAGTAGGGAATACGGGCCTATGCGCAGAAGCCCGCCATGGGCCATGTGCAAGGGTAGTCCATGTGGAATAGGGATGTGCCATGTGTAACAACAGCCCATGCCAAATACGGATCTAGGCAGCAATGTATACCCATGCACCATATGGATTATGGAACCAACTGGGACATGAATCATCAAACCTTAGTGTTGGAAGAGACCCCAAGGGCTATCTAGTCCAACCCCTATGATAGAGGTAGAAGGAGGGAGGTAGATAGGTAGTAGATAGATAGATAGATAGATAGATAGATAGATAGATAGATAGATACCTATAGGTGATAGACTCATGGAATTGGAAGAGACCTCAAGGGCCATCTTGTCCAACACCTATGAGAGATAGAGTTAGAGGTAGAGACAGAGATAGAGGTAGATAGATAGGTAGGGAGATAGATAGATAGATAGATAGATAGATAGATAGATAGATAGATAGCTATAGGTGATTGATTCATGGAATTGGAAGAGACCCAAGACCATCTTGTCCAACCCCTATGAGAGGTAGAGGTAGAGGTAGAGGTAGAGGTAGAGGTAGAGGTAGAGGTAGAGGTAGAGGTAGAGGTAGAGGTAGAGGTAGAGGTAGAGGTAGAGATAGAGGTAGGTAGGTAGATAGGTAGATGATGGATAGATAGATAGATAGATAGATACCTATAGATGATTGAGTCATGGAATTGGAAGAGACCCCAAGGACCATCTAATCCAACCCCTATGAGAGGTAGAGGTAGAGGTAGAGGTAGGTAGGTAAGTAGTTAGATGATTGATAGATAGATAGATAGATAGATAGATAGATAGATAGATAGAGATGATTGACTCATGGAATTGGAAGAGACCCCAAGGACCATCTAATCCAACCCCTATGAGAGGTAGAGGTAGAGGTAGGTAGGTAGGTAGGTAGATAGTTAGATGATGGATAGATAGATAGATAGATAGATACCTATAGATGATTGACTCATGGAATTGGAAGAGACCCCAAGGACCATCTAATCCAACCCCTATGAGAGGTAGAGGTAGAGGTAGGTAGGTAGGTAGGTAGATAGATAGATAGATAGATAGATAGATAGATAGATAGATAGAAGATAGATAGATACATAGATACATACATACTAGATAGATATATAGATACAAGATATAGATAGATAGATACTAGATAGATATATAGATAGATAGATAGATAGGATAGATAGATAGGATAGATAGATAGATAGATAGATAGATAGATAGATAGATAGATAGATAGAT